AGAATAAGATCCAGGCAACCAGTCATCTTTTTTTCCTGTTCTACCATCAAGAAGTATAAAACACAAGAAAATAAATTCATTTTTTATAATATTTTCACTTTGGACAAACAATAACGGAGAGATACTCAATAGATGGTTTTTTTGAAAAAAAATAGAAGTTCATTGAGTCGCATTAGATTTATATTTTATTTAATATCTGGATTCAAATAAAAATATAATTTTCTTTCTGAATCACGTAAATCAAACAATGTAACAAGGAAAACACCGAAAGAAAAATTCAAGAAATCAGTTGGGAAAAAAACGTTTTGGGTGTGGGTGTGGACTGCTGTAACTATGAGTGTTGGATGGGTGTTGTGTGGGCGTGGGTGTGGGTGTGGATAGAGTGTGGATGCAGTGCAGAGAGAAGTAGTACTCACGTCCATACCCACACCCTTTTTTAAGACTGTTCCACACATTTCATCTGTGAAAGTGATCATTTAAAGACTAAACAAATTTTGATTGCGAAACGATTGCTCTAAACTATAGAGTTTTCGAGCTAATTGTAGCGTTTCGCATGTAAAACAAACTATACAACTGAGTATTCATGTACAAAAAAGAATGATCTGCCGATGAGCTTACCGTTCACTTGTTGTTGGTGCTCTTGCTTCCTGATGTAAAGAAGTTTCTCTTCAACATAAATCAGAGTATCTCATGCAATTTGATTACTTTGCCAGTATACAGCTCGATTTCAGGTACTTGACTTAGTCGCTGCACTTCTTGTTCAAGCTGATGAACTGTTTGTTCGAGTCGCTCTAAGTCATGCTCGACAAAATTTTCAGTTTCTTTTAGTTGAATGAGCTCCTGAGAAAATTTCTCGAATTGAACTTTTATTTCCACTTTTTTTGAGTTCAGAAGTCTGATGACTTGTTGTTGAGCTTGGTCAGCAATCCGTCCACCTTTTCTTGTTGATGTTGGTGATCTTTCTTGCAAAAATATGCTTCGCATCCAATACAAAAGTAAGCTCCTGTTTCTTTCTTACACTTGAAACAACTTTTTGATGTGGCCATTTCTACAAAGATAATACAGAAAAGATTTTCTTTATTTAATATCTCGAAAAAAAGAATAAGAGATCGTATTAATAGATTAAAATTATCGATCTAGAAGAAAAATAGTTTGTGCTGAAGAAGTTTGAATAGCCATATTTATCAGTGATTGAAACATTGTTCAACAGCTTTCTTGAGAATTCACCTAATATCTCTACCTCAAAGATTTGATTATAGATTTTACTAAAGTTCTCAAAATGAACTGTCCTATATTATTTTAAAATATTTTCTGAGTTGCAGCGATGTATACTATTTACGATACAAAATCTAGTAGTTCTTGTCCCGACTATATCTGAGTAGGAAGTTCTCAAGCCTCAAAGGTTTTCTCCATCAGAAAAAAACTTTTCATGACTATTTCTTTTAACTTACTTGCGACAGAAAAACAGTGAAATGAATATGGGTCACTGCTCTCTGTTAATCGATCTAATCAGAAAAAACAACGCGGTGTCGTTTGTACTCTTTTTCTTACGCCAACTTGAAGAGGACAATATATGAGTGATAGCAGGTAAAAAGCAACGAAAAAGTTATTGTACAAGACATTGAATTCCCTATCTTTGCTTTTCGAGTTTAATAGTTCGGTCATTCACATACAGGAGAAAAGGCTCTTTAGAAAATCATTATAGTTATTTATTTCTGAGCTAATTTTACAGATTTAGACGAAACTCTCACTGAATGTAGTCTTAAAACTTCAGAAAGAAGAAACCAAGAAAATTGAATTTATCACAACATAAATAAATTTCTTTATGATAATTTCACGCAACCTTGTATGAATAATTTGTATATTGAAGATGAGATGTGACTTACAGATCTTATCCAAAAACCCCAAAAATGAACTCCATTGTGAAAAAACTTCGTTAGTTTTCTAATCTGTCGAACTGAATTAATTTTCCGTCGTGATCTCCACTGATTTGATCTGTAATCGTCTATTTTTGAAAACGAAAACGAGTTAATGAGATTATTACGATCGAACTTCAATCAGATTTAATGTGCTCATGTTAATCAAGATATAGATTCACTCGATCAGAGTGGGATGATGATGTGTGGGTGTGGGCGCTGAAGAAATGAAGACCCACATTCACACTCATATCTAAATTTTTCTAACAGAATATAATTGTATGAAGTATCTTGAATATCCTCAAATATATATTAATTGATTACAATTCTGAGGATGAGTTTCTATGAAATGTTTCGTTTCTGCCTCAGAGCAGATTGTGATTAAGAAATCAAGCTTGTCATATAACGCTTAGATGAACAATGAGATTGATAATGAGCATAAATTCATAAATTTATTGTGAAATTATATCTTCTGTAAATTCAAAACTTATCAAAAATAATTGTAGAGAACTAAAGAAGAGTGTTTTTGGAGAAAAGAGGGTCTGATTGTAGGTGAGTGCGCTCGGTTATTCGACACACACTTTGACTCACAACCAGATCTACATTCTTATTCAGTGGAGTATCACCATCCACCCATGATTATTTCAACGACACCCAGAAAAGTTCTCGGCATGTAGTTCATATTTATGTATCTGCGTATAACTATATAGTTCAATGTACTTAACTTAAGTGAACGTCAAGATTTACTAACAGTATTATGAACTTGTCTTCTACAGCGAGTGTAAATGACCTTCACTATAAACGACAGTCTTATGCATTATAAGGCATTGTGATGTAGTTATAAAATAAAAATGATTTGATAACAGATAGACGATTTTTTAGAGGATATGACGCTTTTTTTTATTTTACAGTTTTCATTGGTAGAAAAACAAGAATAAATAAAAGAAAAAAATTCTTTCTGATTTGTAAAATTAACTTTTTGATTTTCCTTATCAAACTGACTTTATCTCGTCATACATAAACATACAGAACAAAGAAAACCATTCTATCTATATGTTATCTATGATATCCCATCAAACACAATATCAGAAGATCATGCAAATAATTAATAGTAAAATTCGTGATGACATTGTTAAACAATATGCTCAATACACAAAACGCGTTAATGGTGAAATGGTTAAAGGTATTAGATAAACAAATTTTTTCCTTTAAAATAATATTTATTTTAATTGAAGTTATGTATGAATGGCTTGAACGTGGTGATCGTCGAAATTATCAACAAACATCGCATGGTAGACATGGAGATACACATTATCGTCTGGAAATAAGTAAACATACATTTGATCGATTACCACGTATGACAAAAAATTTCTGTTTTTCATAAATAAAAGTTTCTTGTTTTCTTTTCATTCAATAAGAGGCGTGACGGTTAACATGCGAACAATTTTGTGCATTATTAGCACTGATGATTACAGGTCAATATAATGATTATCAAGTACGTCGAACATTTCAACACTGAGGTTCTGATGATGATAGTTATTTAAATGAGCAAGAAATAGAAAATTTACTTATTGCTATTGGTCGATCAAAATCAAGTTTTGAAATACAAAGCATGATTGACGATTTAACAGTATTTAGAAAACTTGATTTTGAAAGTAAAAATTATTTTTTTCATACTGTTTTGTATTTAATGTTTTTTTATGTTAAAAGACTTTAAATGATTTATCGACAAGGATTATGGACGCAAACTTTTAATGTCCACATTCAATGATACATTGGGAAGTTGTTGAGTTAAAACTCTCGATCGCTGTTTCTTTAAATTCAACGTATACATATACGCATGCAGCCAAAAATCAACTTTTTTTTTCAACTTTTTTCTCGTAGTGCTCTTTTTATTTTGTCGAAGCTTTTTCTCTATTTACTTAGGGTATGAGACTCAGGGTATGAATGAATGTGGTGGATTACCTGACGCGCACCGTGACTCACAACCGCATTCACACCCTAGTTTAACCATTATTTTGAATTATTTATTTCAACTGAAGAAAAACTTTTGCTTAAAGGTATGAGTGAGGTGTGAATGAACAGATAAGCAATGCTCAGACCCACTCGAATTCTATTGTTACATAGAATGTCAATCAATTCTGTAGAGCAGTGCACATTGATGAAGATTGCTGAATCGGTCATCATCTTGGCTAAGGTTACACCGACAAGAAGTAACGATATGGTTATCACTAATAAATAAAATAATGATATTTATTATATTTTATATGTAAATTTTTTTCTTGCAATTACTAATAAAATCATAGAAAAAAGAATCAAGTAATAGTTAAAGACAGATTTTACTGGCATCTAAAGTTTGGATGATGTCCCTTGCTTCATCAATAACCATATTGGGTGAACCTAAAACATGAGGCAGCTTTTTCTTCTATCTCAAAACTCTTTCTACTTACTTTATGTCGATTCGATGGATTGAGTCGAGCACGTTCGATTAAAGATTCATAGACTTGTCCATCGTAGCGTCCCAGGCAAGAGTCTGTTAGAAAGAAGTATTCATTAAATCCATAAATTATGTTATACTCACTGAGTTCATGATCGTGGAAATCAAAAGCATCGACTAGAGTGACAAGATTTGGACGGAGTCGAGTATACATGTCAGGCAAAATACGGCTTTCCAATTCATATATTTGATTAGCTGACAGCAGTTTTAACTATTATACAAGCAAAGATCTAAAGACATACCTGTACTGATATACTTACTCGAATGAAATCCGCTGATTCATTGCGTAGCGTGTGAATGGCAAATACATAACAGAGTTGTTCGAGAACTGTAGAAATTGATGGATGTTGAGCGGCTTTCTCCACCTGTTCATAGAATGCTCTCATCAAAAATGTTTCCATGTGAGCCTGAAAATAGAACATCAATAAACTTTGAACAAATAAAAGAGTAGTTGATCTTCTACCTTAGCCATATGCACTAATTGAATTGAATTTTTCATGAATGTGTTATAAGGAGACGATGATGATTCGAACATGTGTATGTAAGCCTCTTTGATCAGTCTACAGTAGATACAATGAAAAAAGTGACTAATTAAGTTTAAATACTTGCAATTGAGATCGGCTATCGAATAGACGGCAATAATCATCAAGATTGATTATCGTTGTTGAAGACCATAATGGCAAATGCAAATAAGCAATGGACGAGTCAATATTTTTACCATTGTGCTCTTCAACTTGTTGCATAACTTTTAGAAGATATCTATACAAATGAATCATATATTATGTGGACTTTCACAGATTATTACTCATACCTCGCAGTTTGCTGGAATAATACAACATTATCACCTTCAGCGCTACACACCGCATCAAAATAGTTTTTAATTCCCACTATTCCACTCGCTACCAAGAAACCATGACCACCACAAGCCACACGACACACTTGAGCAAATCGTTCACCTACTGATGATGTATATGCTTTTAAACCCGACGAAAGTGCATGAAGCTAACTTGTCAAAATACCACAAATATTTAATAATATTTAAAAAGTCAGATGTAATATCGCTCACTTCTGGTAATTGATCAAGAAAAACGATGTCATTTGTTTTTAATTTATTGAAGTAGGTATCAAGTTTCATGAAGGCAATGAGAAATGCATAAACAGTAGATAGGCATGGCACTAATTTGTCTTGTTGTAGCACATAATTAAGTATTTGTATTTCACTCCTATGTCGTTTTTTGTGGAAAATATTTAAATTCTAATCGGATTATTGCGCAACGAAACCAAAATCATAATTGACTTAGGAGGTTTCCGACATAAAAAATGACTAAAAATCTCCTAAGTCGATTGTAATTTTGATTCTGTTGCAGAGTAATTCGATTATAATCGAAGTGTTTTTCATTGATTCAGCGTCAAAAAAGTCAAATAAAATGTATTCTATAGTAAAAAAAAAGTATACCCATTAGGACTTTGTCCTTGAAATCGAACTGCTGAATAACGTATAGCAATAGTAACCGCTTGAGCAAGAGAAACTGCAAAAGTATAACATAAATGAATACGCATATGAATCATTGCACTATATAAAAGACGAGCATCGCCTCGATGATGAAAATTGCCTTGTTCATCAACCTACTCAAAGGAGAAACACATAGTTTCGTATTCCATATAGTTTTATTTCTGAAACTACACGACATACCTGAGCCAACTTCATGAGCATTTGTGTACGTGGAATACGTAAGTTACTTAATCGAAGATAACCATTGTCACCAGCAGCATGTGCAAATCGAGTGCTTATCTCACCTAATTCTACACCTAAACACGTTGCTCCGTATATGATCAATTGACTTACAATCAAACATTTAACCTGGCAATGGTTCATGCGTATTCAAATCTCGAATTTGTACCAAGAACATTTGCAATCCACATGGATGATCACGATTAGGTGTGTATAATTGAGCCATAAGAAGAATATAATTAGCTGTTCTACCTAATGCACCTGGCCAAAATTTGGTCGATGTCAACGTAGGTGTATTAAGTACAAATGAATCAGTCATACGATCGAATACAGCCTCCGTTTCTAATCGTCTTAGATCTGTCCCATGACCTAGTTCTGTTTGAGCATAAGTTGTAATGATACGAAAAGATTGAGCAAGTGGCAGAAATTGCTGTATTTGTTCTTCATTTCCCAACGTTTCAAGAGCATATAAACACATGGATGTATGAACATAAAATAGAAAATGACTATTAGTGAATACATGAAAAAACCATAGACGATGTTTGTTATTGGTAATATTCAAACGGTCTGCTTCTTGAATAGCCAAAAGACTTTTGCGAAGAGTAACTGAATAGTGTTCATCAGCATCGAGAAATTCAAGTGGTAAATGTGTGCGATGTATTGTATGAGAAACGGCCCAACGAACTATATACAGAAAAAAAATCATAATAGATAATCAAATGATATCACTCTCAACTGAGTTGACGTCGTGTATTTATCTCAAAATAATTTCCTGGTTCACCGAACATAAATTGTGTCATTTCTTCAACATTGAATGTAGCTGCTTCACGTTCATTTAACAAGTTGACATTTTTTGTATCGCTTATTTGATAATGAGGTTTTGTGTGATAGTGTTCGACCATCGTTCTTTTTCTTTCTAAATTAAGAGAATAATAGGAAAGAAAATTTCTATGATGATAGTGGATTCTACATTTCAGATGGCTTATTTATTTGATAGAAAATATTCAATTGATATCGTTTTAAGAACAGCAACGATATCATCTATTAGAAAGATGAAAATAAAGAAACCTGATATTGTCATTAAACAGTACAAATTCATCCCAAAGATACACAGAAAAATACGAGCAATGGAAAAAAAGACAGCGAAAACGATGCACAATAGGGCTGGTGATGGATAAAATGAAAGAATCGCAAAGATAAAAATGAAAGAAAAAGTAAAAAAACCTAAAGAAACATGTGTGCGTTGCCAATGGAGAACAGCAATACTTTTGTCTACATATGAAGGATTGAGTAAACGACTGATAACATCATCCAAAGAAATGATTGATATACTTTTTCAATGTGGGATGTGTGGGTATGAAAAGAGAGGTGTTGGTGTGAGTATGTGGAGATGTGGATGTGAATGTGAGTATGAATTAAATACACCCACACTCACACCTGCATCCAAATCCACAACCACACCCTACATATCCACACTGTGACATGGGCTGCAATAAGCTTTTATACTTGTGCTATTTATAGCGTAACAAAGGTATAGAGTTGAAGAAACATCCGTTGGTTTTGATTTCAGATGTAAGAGTTTCATGCAGAAAAAAAATTTTCCATAAATCTATTACCTTCTTCGATGCGTGAACAAGACAATAGAAAAACGTCTATCTGCCTATTTTCTGATTCTCTAGTTTCGAGTCTATTGCGACGAAAAATGGTAACTTTGACGTGTTTGTCTAGTACTTAGTAAAGAAAAAGAAAACTTCCAAAGAACTTCATAAACGCAGTGCGAAGCGATCTCAATGTGCAGCAATAGCATTCCAATTAACATAAGAATGATAAACGATTTCATTTAGAGTTGATCCTGTCCTGTAGAAGGTTTTTATTATCTTTTGTGCTAACAACAGCTGACTGGAGATGAGCGCACCAATTTTAATTATCTTGAATAAAAAATGGAGGTCAAATCGTCATAATCACCGGTTTGCGGAATTTACTGAGGATTCAAAAACGTTTGTATCAGGGTTGCCACCTCTTCCGCTTTTTGCGGAAAAGTTCCGCTATTTGAGCTTTTTTCCGCAACTCTTTCGCTTTTCGCTTTTTTTTCCGCTTTCTAATAAAAGAATAAAAGTTGCCTCAATAGTGGTCTTTCAGCAAAAATGAACAAAATGCGAATACTGATCATTAAACACATTTATCTGACTCTGTTTTATATGCTATTCAGTTAGTAGTTACTGATTTTCCAATAAAAACAATTTGTGTTTACCGTTTAGCATTAAATACCTTCTGTTTTCCATAAAATTCAGCGCTCATGCGCTCAGCAATCGAAAATCTTTAAATTCTTTGCTATGAGTTTTTATATGACGCTTTAATATAGAGAAGAAAGATTTCTACGACACCATGCGTTGCCTGACGGGTTACTACTTTTGCTTCTACGTATAGAAAAGTTTTTTTAAAGAAAGGATGCACTACAGAAAGTAGTGTTCGGTAGTATTATACTAGGCAGTGATCGTTCATTTTCATAGCTTACTACTGCCGCTGACCGAACAGTTACATAAAAGGATACTCTTCTTCAATTCCAGAGTATAACAAAGAGAATTTGTCGATTTTGATTTTTGAATTTAGTTATACACATATTGTAATTCTTTCTGTAAAAAATAGTTTTAAAAAAGCTTTCCGTTATTTTTTCCGTTTTTCCAACATTTGTTTCCGCTATTTTAGAGCCAATCTCCGCTTTTTCAACTTGATGAGGTGGCAACCCTGGTTTGTATCATCTCGAAATATGGATTTTTCTGACATAACTCAATAAGACAGATAATTTTTCTGACGATTGATTATTCTTGGAGAAGAATTAAGATCTGCTACTGATATTTTATGTTGAGTATTTTATACTTCTTTAATAGTCAACACAGAGATATACAGTGGCGGCAAAAAGCTCTGTGACACTTGAAAATCGGTTCCAACTACTTCTTGTTCGCGTTGATCTGAACTTGTTTCATGTACAACGTATATACATGCTACAAGCTCTAACATACCTTCGGCTAAGCGAAATGGTGTCAATTCTTGCAAGAAAAAAGTTCACAGCACAATAAGTTCAGCGGAAAAAAGTTTCGTGACACTTCCAGTGCGGCTAAACCTTTGACTTCTCGGCAGTTTAAAGAACACCATTGGAAAGAGCGTGAAAAATGACTCACTTTCCACGGCATTTCGATTTCGAAATAATGTAGGATAAAATTCTCGAAAAAGCAGGCTTTCATAGGATTTTGGATGTCTCATTCGAAAAATCTCTGGAAGTTCTCAATAGACAAGATAATTGATAGTTGTTTAGCGTCTATTTTGAAGAGCTATCTTACCTCTACAAAACAAGATATCAATGAACTATTTCGGATTTGAAATGGAAAAGAGCCGGTACCAAGAAAAGCATACATGAAAAATTGTACCATTTTCTAGCAATTTTGTCTGTGAAAACTAAAAAACGGCACCCTTTTTTCATGGCATCTGCTCTCTTTCATTTTTAATCCGAAATAGTCCATTGATATCTTGTTTTGTAAAGGTAAGATACCTCTTCAAAATAGACGCCAAACAACTATCAATTCTCTTGTCTGTTGGAAACTTCTAGAGGCTTTTCGAATGAGACATCCAAAATCCTATGAAAACCTGCTTTTTCGAGAATTTTATCCTACATTATTTCGAAATCGAAATGCCGTGGAAAGTGGGTCATTTTTCACACTCTTTCCAATGGTGTTCTTCAAACTGCCGAGAAGTCAAAGGTTTAGCCGTACTGGAAGTGTCATGAAACTTTTTCCCGCTGAATTTATTGTGCTGTAAGGTTTTTTCTTGCAAGAACTAGCACCATTTCGCTCAGTCGATAGCATGTTGTAGTATGTATATACGTAGTACATGAAACAAGTTCAAATAAACTCAAACAAGAAGTAGTTGGAATCGATTTTCAAGTGTCACGGAACTTTTTGCCATCACTATATGTGTGTTGATAGATGATTCAAATTGCTTTTTAATATAATTAATAATTCGAGGAACGTGTGTACCTCAATTTCAATTAGACAGTAATCCATAATCAATTCCTTTTATTAATTTTATTGGTTGAAGAAGAAAACAGATAGTTTGAAAAAATACAATCAACACAAAATCTTTATCAAATGAACATTATTTTGGAATATACATGCATTTATATGACATAAACAGAATCTTAAATTTTAAATGAAGAACAAATAGAAAAGATTCTTTTTGCATCATTCACTTTTATTCATATTTAGAATCGATTGTTTTACTTTGTTTTATTATGAATAAACAAAAAAGAAAAGATTAGACATAGTTATTTATACAATATATACAAATAAAAAATAAGTAAGTCATATATATACAGAAAGAATCAAAGACTAATTGAGTCGTTAAACGAATGACTAGAGATCGCAACAAAAATTTTAATCAACATATATTCGACTGATTATCTTTTCACTGTTCTGCAACATTTATGTTTCTTTTTCAAATTAATACACAATAGCTTCTAATACAAATTCCGACGTATAGACTAGACATCATACATGCATGAAACCGGGCAAAAAAAATATATATAAGGTTGCGATTTCTTCAATTTAAAAAAGAACGGAAATCAACGAAAAAAATATATATATATTAAACAACCTGAGATAAGAATACATGAAACACACACATATATATATATATATACATATATATAGACATCAATATGTCTGATCAGCTGTATCAGGAAATTGAATCATATTTTCTACTGAAGGATTCGCTTGTAACGATCGTACGACTGTACTACTGCAACTTGATGAACTTAACGAATCAGTTGTATCACCATTAGTAACTAAAATCAGATAAAATTATTCATTGAAAATATTTTCTTTTTTGTAAATTTACAAACCATTTTTGGATGGTATATCAATGGCAGCATCAGCTAGTTTTTCTACAAGTTCAACTTCTAAATCAGATTTTAAACTATCTAATGAACTTCCATATATACTCAACGATGGAGCATCCTATAATCAAAAAGACAAAAAAATATTTTCTATTCGAAATATAATATTTCTTACCTGAAAACTACCGGAACCGACTTCAATATAAGCTGGTGAAATCTCTTTATGCATATTAGGTACATATACGGGTGTAGATTTTGACCATTCCATTCTAGAATTCCTAGAGTTGATATTTATTTAAGAATTAAACAATAACATACGGTAAACTATTTAAATCTGCATCAACAATATTCATTGATGTTTGTGGTGCATCAGCTGTAAATACATTTGAATTTGGATGACAAACACTAACTGTTGCTTCAGAATAATGTTTAAATTGAAATTGTGGACCCATCCATAAACGACGATGTGGACCTACATGTGTATTCATTTCAACCTAGAAATAATGAATAAATTTTCTTCTTCTATAGGATAATTATAAATATTCATGAACACATAACATAAATTTTATTATATTTCTAAAATACGAAGATTAAACTAAGCATTTGAATATGATTTAATTATTAATGAATGATGTTATAATATCGAACTATTTTCTTTTGATGTTCGACGACGACATTCCTTTGTTAAATAAATGTTATTAAAATGACATTCTTCAACAGAAATAATTAATCATCAACTTATTGTTGGATAAAATGAATAGGTCCCGTGCTTAAAATTGATCATGAGGAGATTATACTTGTTGTTGTATATAACTGATAAGTATCTATAGAGAGTTATCAATTTATACACGTATTCCATGTTAATAAAAACATGATAAGAAATTATTCATGTCATAAAAACTGAAGACAACAACTGGTTATTTTCTCGATTTTCATTACATAGGTATCTACTTAACTAATATGCCCAACATAAATACTATTCTAACTTCTTAAAGGATTGTACTTGTCCTATGT